ATGATGGTGGTGAAGATGATGACAAACAAATTTTATTTACGATATCACACGTGGCCCGTTGCCTGGTTTAATGGTGATTAATCCTTATTCACTTGTGTTGCAACTTTATTTTTATTATGTTTTTATTTTTATTATATTTATTAGTATTATTATTTATTTATTTATTATTATTCAATTTTTCTAAATAATATTGAATAATATGTTCTTATTTTATAGGCGTTGATTTGACTTTAACAAATGTTGTCATTAAATTCTATTTAAGAAAATGCCAAATTATATCGAAGAGTAAAAAAAATTAATCAAAATTAAATCAAATTCTCGAAAATGAAATAAAAACTTGGAATCATGTATAAATTAGCCAACAGTACCACAAAACTTAAAACTACCTTGAAACTATTTTAACAAGTGGGCCGTATCTTAGACAGTTTCACCGCTCAATTCCGCTACGTATAAAATACAAAAAATGAACAATCTATTAGGGAATAGTCAACAGTATCCAATACAAAACAGCACAGATATCTCCAACTTTGGCCAACTTTGATCATTCACCTACTTATATATAGATTGTACCTATTTATATATACTTATACCCATACCAATATATTTATATATGTGTGTGTGTATATACGCATATAATAAGTATGTATATGTGTATGTATATATATATATATATATGTGTGTCTGTGTGGTATATACTGTATATGTGTATTAACTTGTATTGTATAACACACATCCTTGTGCTCTATCGTCAATAAATGTTCTTATATATTTAAATTTATATAAGATTAGTATGTGTGTGTTTGTGTGTGTAAGTGTGTGTGTGTGTAAGTGTGTGTGTGTGTACACGTGTGTGTACGTGTGTGTACGTGTGTGTGTCTATTCGTTTATAAATTGTTTGTAATAAATTAGAGCTGTTAGATTGATAGCTGTTGGTTGAGCAATGATTGGAAGGAAGGAAAGACGCATTTTATTTGTGTATAAATTCTGCTTGGGTCTAAAGAATTTATTTTTAAAAGCTTAATTTACTAGATAAATTATTAAATTTAATAATGTCAATTTATGAATTATATTAGATGACAAATTTTATTTAAATTTTTAATTAAATTATACCTAATACATACAAACTTAACAACCCAAATACAAGAGATTGATGAACAAAAACCTATCATGTTATCGACATAAGCCTACAGACACCACCTAAATCTGAAAATAAATAAATAAAAAGGTAAGACGATAAACATAGAAAAATAAACAACCATAGAACGGTAAACATAGAAAAATAAACAAGGATAGAATAAGAACAATATAGCATAGAGAAGACAAACAGCCAAAGATCAATAAGCAGAGTAACAAACAGACAAAGAACAATAAACAAAGGAATAACAAACATGGAGTGGTAAAAAGGTAGGAATAAACAACCTAAGGACGATAAAGAGAGAAAAATAAACAATCATAGAACAGTAAACATAGAGAACTAAACAACCATAGAATGATAAACATAGAGAAATAAACAAACACCATAGAAAGTTAAACAGAGACAGCAAATTTATTTCCTCCTCTCGTGTCGATTGTCAGCCAGTGATGATTAATTGACAGCAAATGAACGACTGAGTGAAAATGAATGAACGAACGAACGAACGATTGAACAAATGAATGAAAGAATGATCGAACAGACAAATTGATTGATGGATGAGTGAATGGATGAGGGAATGAATGGATAGATGATTAAACAGTTGGATAGGTGGATGAATAAATGAACGAATGAAAAATATAATTAACATGAAAATGTATGATATGAAAGATGGTTAGATGAATGAATGGACGAACGGATGGCTGAATGAATGGATAGATGGATGGATGAATAAATGAATGGATGAATGAATGAATGAGTGGATAGAGAGACTGTCAGATAGATGGATGAATGTGTGTATAAGTAGATTGATGGACAAGCTGTTGTAAACAAGTCAACATATGAAATCACTATTCAGTGGATGAACATGAAAAAAAGTGTATAACAAAAATTCACACTCATATACTACACACGTTAAAACATACTCACAATTACACACAGACACGTACACACATACACAAACACACTAAAATAAAGTACCAGCAATTCAAGCAGGCGTACAAAAATGCCGAGTCCAATGTATTAGTGTTAAAAAAGTCTTTATAAATATACATAAATACACACAAATACATACAAATACAGACATACATTCATTCATTCATTCATACACACATAAATACTTAATATATACTTAATATATATATATATATATATATATATATATATATATATATATACAAACATTATGCACGCATACATACATACATACATACATACATACATACATACATACATACATACATACATACATACATACATACATACATACAAACATACATACATACATGGATTAACAACAACATCAATCAATCTACATGTCATGTTGCAATGAACACGGTAATAAAAATAATAATAACAATAATATTAATAATAATAATAATTATTATTATTAAAACAACAATAATAATCAATCAGTTGATATATTAATGGATATGTGTTTATAAATATGTATGTATGTGTGCATGCGTGTGTACATGTATGTGTGTATATATGTATGTATGTGTGTATGTATGTATGTATTTTTGTATGTACGTATGTATGTTTGTATATGTGTGTCTGTATGTATGTTATACTCCAAAAAGCCTAAATACGCCAGCTAGAAAAATGATAAATGTATTTATAATTGTTACTCATCTTAGGGTACATCAGCGAAACATAAATTTTAATTATTGCCTTTTCTTGTTTGTTTGTTTGTTTGTTTGTTTGTTTCTAATTTTTGTTGTTGTTGATTTTTTTTCACATTGAAATATGTGCAATTATATACAACTACTAATATGCATTGACTTAGTTTCAACAAAACTTATACATAAACTTACAGACAAAAACCAAACAGGTACATACAATAATAACAAACAAACGAACGAACGAATGAACGAACGAACAAAAAATGGCAATATAAACAAGCAAACAAACAATGCCAAACAAACACACACATAAAAAGCAAGAAAAAAATTATGTACACAGACATACACATACACGCAAAAATAACCAAAAAATAGTTTTGAAAAACATTAACTAACGCATACAATTACAAACATAAAAACTTAAACACACTTAAACATACAAAAAAATACAAAGAAACATAAACATGAAGTCGTACCATGGCCTAACTGGAGTATATTATGATTTATTGTTATGCAACAATAATTTAGCGTCTTCATAATCATCATCATCACCATCCTCATCGTCATCAGCACATCATCATCATCTCCCTTCATTATCATCATCACCACCATCATTGTTGATAACAACATCGTCATCGTCGTCGTCATCATCGTAATGATGATGATAATTGTCATCTTCTTCATCATTAGCATAATTTAATCACCATGGTATCTTTAATTTTACTTTTCTAATTGTCATCTTCTTCATCATTAGCATAATTTAATCACCATAGTATCTTTAATGATACTTTTCTAATTGTCATCGTAAAACAATTTGTATTTGACGCCCCGACCTAATCAACGTCATCATCACAACCAACGAAATCATCATTATCACCAACAACACCAAAATCATCACCATCATCATCATCATCACCATCACTATCATCATCATCATCATCATCAATCTTATTTATACCTGTCAGTCAACATTAACATGGCCATCATCAACGTTTGAACAACAAACAAACAAACACACGTACCCACACACACACGTACACACACACACACACACACAT